GATGGAATTTAAACTCAGTTCATCTGCCTCCAAGGATCCAAATATCACCTAATTATTCTAATTTCATAAGAGACATAAGTGTACATTAAAAGCTATATATCTGTTTGTTAAAATTTTATTTGCTCAATATTATTAGTCTTGTTAAAATTTGCTTGGTAAATTTTTTTTTTTAATTATGTATTTGGCCCTGGATCTCTCTACGCAGCTCCAACTCATGGTGATCCTCCTATAATTCCAGCCTCTCCAGTACTGGAATTATAGGCATGTGCCACCATGCCCTGTTTAGGTGGCCAGCCTGGCACGCAGTGGCAGGGACAGGACCTGGGTCCTTGTGCTTGCCAGGCAGGTACATAGACTGCTGATCTATTTCCCTGGCCCTCCCTTGGTAAATTTTATTGAAGAGCTGGTCATGGTAGTTCATGCCTGTAATCCCAGCACTCTGGAAGCTGGAGTAGGAGAGGAGGATCCTTATCCTTATGAGTTCAGGATCAACCTGGCTAGGAAGTGAGTTTAAGGCCAGCCAGAGCTATATAGCAAGACTCTGTCTCAAACACACACACACACACACACACACACACAAAAAAAAAAAAAAAACAAAAAACAATTTCTAGAATTAGTATATACTGCTTTGGTAGAATAGCATATTTTAGGATTAGTAGATTGATAATAACTAGTACATCCAGGTTCTATCCCATTTTCCAACTGCAGAGGTGGTTTCACTTTGGGGACAATGCATGGACAGATTGGCTGCGAATGGAAAGGAGGTGAAACACATAAGCCAGGGGTTAATCTTGAAGGGATTAATTTGGACTGCATCTCCTGGTTGATATTTGCACATAGACACTGTAATCTCTCCTGTTGTAACTCATGTCTTCAGAAACAGGCCTGATTCCAAGTAGGGCCAGGGTGAATTGCTACTAAATAAAGTGTACTCATTGTCCTCTGTGAGGCCATGTTTCTGTTCTGGTGGCACTTTGCTAGAAAGTCACTTTGCAGGCGTATCAGCTGAGACGAAGTGGTGTGTCGCTTTATCACGCTAGCGTGTTTTGTGTTCCCGCCAAAAATGAAAGGCTCTAATCGGAAAGTACTGGTTTGTAGCCACATTTCTGCTTTCTAATTTAAGGATCAAAAGTGCAGGAGTCAATATGGCTTTTTCATTTGGATTTATATCTTTAGTATATATCCATTTATTCCTTCCTATTTATTTTTTTCTCCTACTTATTCCTTCTTATGGATTCTGATCAGCATTGCTATTGAATCATTTGGTGTGGCATCGAGAAAAGATCTGTTTAGTCAAGCATAAGAATGATAATTCTCTAGTCAACTAACTTTTTGGAAGCCTTCCTTACTCATTATATTTGCAGCTCACTTAAAGAAATTTAATATTCTTTCATGTAAGAAAAAAAAACAGGTTGATTAGTTTAAGAATGAGTGTGGATCAGACTAAATATTTTAAATCTGACTGCTTTCTTGGTAACTTTTCCCTTGACTCCAAAATCCTAAGTCATTGCTCAGACACAGATTTCCTGTATTCTTTCAGGAATGTGGCCAGGAATTAGTTCTTAACATGCTTCTGACAAAAGTTTATGATGTTTACATTGTATCTGAAAATAATCTAAGAGACATGAAAATGACCATTTTCCTGGTTATGGAAGCTTCTGTTCATAACTAGGCAACATCTACGTCACTGGGTGAGATACTTTCTTCAAATTATTGCCTGCTGTCATGCATTCCTTGCCTATGAAAAGGTGTGTATAAAGCCATAGGTGATAGGTCAGTTTTAAACATTTACTTTGGAAGGTTGGTAGGACAGCTCAACGGAATAAGTGCTGACTTAGGTAAGAGCAGGAAGCAGCGTTTGATCCCTGGCACCACATGCTGTCCTGGCCCTGCCCCCAGGCATGCTGAGCTGGCCATGGAGACCAGAGGTGGTGGCACACGCCTGTAATCCCAGTGGTGGGGAGGCTGAAAACAGGAGGATCATTATGAGTCCGGGCTGCATTGTGAGACCCTATACCAGAGAGAGAGAGAGAGAGAGAGAGAGAGAGAGAGAGAGAATGAATATGAATGGGAATTGATGTTAGAGATTATCTAGGTTTTTTTAAATTTTCTTTGAAGACCATTATATTTGAGTAAAATGAAGCTCTTTATCAGCCCAGAGAGACCCTCTCTACGGATACGATTTCTCCTTTTCTCATAAAATATACTTTGATCCTTTTACCTTTGATGACAGGAACACCAAAATTAGTTGAAGTGCTACCTCATATCCAAAGATAAAAATAGAGCTTTTCTCCTTTAAATTTTCTTTTGGGTGTCCATTAAGTATCCTATTTAATAGGTATTTTTAAATGCTGAGGTGTTAGAAATTATCTTCGGAGTTCTAAGGATAAATAATGACCTTAGCCTTCAACACATGCTCTACATTTTAGTTTACATTTTCTCTTAGAATTACTGTAGGTAGCAGCATGGCAAGTTGGAATGTAAAGCAATGTTTTAACCTATATTTTTTGTGTTGGAAGTTCAATTTCATAAATACAGTGGAAAATAAAGATATTTTAAAAACATAGTCTGTTAACATTTCAGCACAGTATTTAATTAACACTAAATATTCAAATCCATTTACTTATTCTTAATTCAAATATATTTTCAAATCCAAACTAATATATTTGCTCTTCTCTCTACCTTTTACGAATTTTTAAAATATATTTTTTGTAGCAGACAGATTGATAAGTTAAATCAACAAATGTCCATTAAAAATGGTCATTTTTTGCATTTTGAGTATTATATAGCATTTTAAAAATTAGGCAGATCGATATCCTAATATAAAACCATATTGGTAGATACAAACTGAGTTTATAGAATATCAATAAAGTGTCACTCGGGCTAAAAGTCTTAAATCCTTTTGTAATACTATTTATGTAATTATAGATTCCCAGTAAAACTTTAAAAAGATATATGCCTGATTCCTAGTGAATTTCTCTACAAGGGAAAGAATTTTGATATGAATGGAATTTGAGAGGAATTTTGGTTTCTTTGGCAATATTTAATCTTGATGAATTTGTATGTTTTAAGTTAATTTTCTATTACAGTGCTCAATATGAATAGCTTCAATTATATCTAGCTTTGACTATGGCTTCAGTGTCCCTAGATGGATCCCGGGTTTTGCTGACACAATTCTAGGAACATTGAGTAACAGGAAACAGTCTTTTACCAAATTAAAAAAAAAAAAAAAAAAAA